TTTTTTTTTTTTTTTTTGGGAGTCTTATAACTTTTATTGCATTGCACAATTTTCTTCTGACAGTGTACGAGTCTTTTTTTTCTTTTTTTTTTAAGGCTAAATTTCAGAAAAAGTATGAAAAAATCTGAAAAAAATATGAGAAGTTTCCTTCTAAGCTCCACAAAGGGATTATAGGAACCCACGACTCTACGAGTAGTAATCGCGTGCAACACCTTCTCGCTACTGCGGCTAGTCAGTACGATTGACTATCTTTGGGGTCAAAAAACTTTTGAATTGTTGTGGGGTGGGGGGTGGGGGGGTATGTAGGGCCCTTGAGCTCATTTTAGGTGCATGGTCTGCGATTTAATTTCTAGGCTCTCTGTCTGTATGCTTCTTCTCCGCATGACTTCATGCGGAGAATGCACTCGCTGACAGCCCGTTCAGATGCAGATTGCCACATTCTCTGTCTGTTTTTTTTTTAGTGATGGAAAATGAGACTCAGTCCTTGCTGCTGCTGAAAATTCACTGTTTATGGGCTACCTATCTTCAGTTGTTGCGTGCATCTTAACTCTCAGGAGGGAAGATTTGAAGGTGAGCAATCTAGATTGTTGCACTCGCCGCCAACAAATGCGATTCTACTGTCCTTTGGGACAATCCCAAAGTACAGGCATGAATTTGGAACGATACAGCGCAAGGACGACACACACAAATTGAGAAATGGTCCCCCCAAAAAAAAGAAAAAAAAGAAAGAAGAAAAGGCAATCAACAGCGTTGCCCTATTCTACACTTTGTGTCTTTTCCTTGAGATGGAATGCAAGGAGAGCAAGCTATACTGGAATTCTTCATAAAGTTGACGTCAATAGTAATATTTACACTTGAAGGTGCGAGGGGGGGGTGGGGTGGGGGAGGGGGGGGGAGGAGCTGACTAGGTTATGAGCCATGGTTCTAGTACTGATGTCACGCATTCTCGGCCTTTTTTGCCGCTATGCTCCTGTGGTTTGGTTTGCTGTTTTGCCGCCTCTCCTTATCTTGTATACACGATGCTTTGGGTGCTGCAGTGCGGAGCCAGCTTGGATGTCCAGCAGTGCCGTCGGCTGCAGCCATTCGCGAAGGCCCTGCTCCCTCTGTCTGTTATTGCACTTGGGTCCTACTTCGCATTTAACCGCCATTCGGATAAGAAGGCCTGCAAAGTTATAGCTGCACCTGTTCCATCATAAGACCTGTTATCTTGTCTATGGCCACACACGCTCCCACACTGGCATGACAGGCTTTGAAGCGGATCGACGGTCATCGACCTATTCAATCTGACGCTCTCAGTTGATCGAGCTATTCAAACTGTGTGAAGTTCTCAGTGGATAGAGCTATTATCTCAGTGGGTCCAGCTATTCAACCTGTGAAGTTCTCAGTGGATCGAGCTATTCAGCCTGAAGCCCACAGTTTGCTCCATCCCAGCGCAGGAGGAAGGAGCAGGAAGAGACCTTGTCGATCGGGGAAGAGGGAAGACTGTGGTAGCAGCCACCACATGTACTGGTGATCTTTCTCGAGTTGCGATCTGTATTTCAATGATCTGGATTGTGAT